CACTGCACGCTAATCGAACGCTGGTGCTCTGATAATTCAACGCATTCCTCGGAATCATTCATCGTTAGTGCTTTGTCTGAATTGCTTGATTCAAGATCCTTAGCAGCCAAGGTGCATTGTATACTTATAGAATGTTTATTTGAGTCAGTCGAGGGATCGTCAGGTTTTTCTAAAACTAGTTGGCTCATCTCAACGCCACTATTGTGCAAACTGTTGGATGAGCCATACACGGAGCTGAAAAATTAACCCAATAAAATTAATTTCCTTGTATTTCAATGCAAAAACGTACTTTTCTTCATCTGTGCTTTCATCGCCTTCCTCTAATATTTTGGTGAGTTCTTTAATCGCAGTTACTTCTGCAGTTGAAAATGGTGTAATTTCTCTATTCGATTCATCAAATGTATTATCAACCATCGAAACGGGCTGCTTCTCAGGATGAGCATGTAATTGAACCACTGCGAATTCTGCTGGACAATCCTCATGTGAGTTCCTGGTAGAATCTATACAGATCGTGCCTCGTTCGTACTTAACGGAGTTATGTGATTCTTCGTTATTCTCCAAATCAATTCGACTGTGAGAATTATTTTCCTCAAAGATTATCTCACTTTTTTCAAATTCTTTAACTACAACTGGCGATCCTAAAACAAATAAATTACAATACAACCCAATTCCAAGTTTTTAGTGTAGTATCTTACTGTTCGAAGACCTAGAAAAATGTAATCTAAAAGATGATTCTTCATCTGTTTCAAGCATTTGGCCATCATTTAATTCATCTTCGCTACTAGACGCAATCTCAATTATGTTGCTTTGGTTCACAAAAGACGGTTGATGTGACGGCTCTTGACAATCATCACTATCAGACAATACTGGATCTACAATATGTAAACAAATTATAAGTGAAGTTTGGCGAGCAGAAAACCGACAGAAAAGAAGCTAAATAATGGTGTCAAAAACAGAAATTAACCTTACCATAATCAACAGTCGCCAATGTATCAGCTGAAATATCTTGAATTTTATGTTCTGTGTTGCGTTTACTAGTGGATGGCCGATCTATTAGCTTATTTGGTGCCTTTTTGTCTTTTATGTCCTGAATAACTTGTCTCATATCCTCACTACCACTAGATAAATCTTCATATACTTTTATAGCGTTTTCTTGGTTGTCTTTCGAATAATTGTCTTGTTCTTGAGTCGAAATGTCCCCGATAGAGTCAGCCACAGTGGAGTTGGCCAACTCCTCATTGATCGTAATTGGACCAGTTCGGTTTTCGTCCTCTTGAATCTGTGTTTTATTGGGTTCTACTTCTTCGTCAGGAAAAACGTCTACAGTCTTAGAGACATATTTTCTCGAATTGTTTTGATCCATCAAGTCACCTATATTTAAATAAGGCATTTGCTTTAGGTTATTTGATTATGAAAAACAGTTATTTCATCATCATTAATCATTCGTTTCAAAGAGTTACTAGGTCTGGGAGCACGCGAAAAGAGGAGCTATTACCTCTTAAAGATGTGCTTTAAGTTTGCATCAACTAATGCAAGTTTCCTATTTATACAAAATACGATTGAGAAATTTTTTTATCAAAAGATACAACAACCTTGCACCCTGGCAGTTTTCTGTTGACAAACTTGTGAGCAGAGCTACAGCGTATTTGTGGTTCGATTTTAAATTGTGCTCTTCAAAACTTGTATGAATGTATAACAATGCCGAACATGCATAAAGGTTAATTTTATTCGGGATACTCTAATCGGTAAAACCCTCTTGATAATAGACGTGCGAAATACTCAGTGTTATTTGTTAGAAGCAAATTGAGTCTTCTGGGGAGAAATAAAGACCGCAACTAACTTTCGGTGAAGTCATACTGAAGGCAGAACTCATAAGCAAATATAAAACCGTTTTGAGCTTAGAGCAAATAGTTGAGAAAGAGCTACATCTCTACATTTTATATCAACTCTGTAAGAAGTGTTGAAGTTTGTGAAGAAGTTTGAGAATCTATGCCCAGCTGCCTTAACGAACGAATAGCTAGAAACCGCTGAAGCAGTGCCATAAGTTACTGTGTTCAGATTATAGCATTGCAACGGATCAGTAGGCGTTGCTCGCCATAAAACGCGTTGCAAAGCTCTCTGCGAGGGGTTGATTAGAACCTGCCGATACATTTTCTAAATGTCGGCGGAAATAGCATAACGATGACGTCGAAACCGAATCAAGATTGAAAATAAATCTTCTTAAATTACTGGACCAACCATTTACAGACTATTTAGAGAATGCCCTGTCGTAGACGGCATCGAGCCGTTGAAAACAACACGAAGTTTTGTCGTGAGACTGTCCTCCTTTAAAAATCCGTGATGTGGAAGATAAATCGAAATTTCAGAAGGATGTGGAACAACCAATCATATATTCCAACTCTTCGTACTCCTTCATGAAGCGAGAATATTGCTGGTATAACTTTGAATTTGATTGGAACCTTTTTTCCAGAGAAAGAAATCGCTTTTCGGCAATTTTGTAGGAATCACCGAGTAGCTCGACGGGAGCTTTGAAGGGTATAGATACGACAAATCTACCGTCGAAACTTCTTTTGGTGTTCTGCAGATAATGGGATTCGCATGATTTCTCCTCCGAAGAGAGCGCCTTGTTCGAAGGATAATGTTCAAGCTCCCAGAACGTATTCAGCTGATCAGACAGTTCTTCAGTGCAGCTTAAATGACATTGAACTCGCGAATCCAAAAGGACCTGCAACTGCCCAACCAAAACGGGTTTTTTGAAGAACAGGCAGATTTGAACCAAGACGAACCTGCCCGATGCACAGAATGTTAAAGAAAGTCGAAGCCCCGAGCAGAAGATCAATGGTATTGGGTTCCCCAAAGAAAGGTTCTGATAACCTTATGTTTTCGGGAATCTTAGAATGCTTCAAATTAACACGAATGCCTGCTACTGCTGAATACTACCTGCTATTTCATCAGGACGGCAAGAATGCTGAAGCTTAAAGGGCGATTGATTAGCGTCTACTTCAACGTCACACTTGGAATGAACGAGAGAAGACTTGGGCTAGACCAGAAATTGATGCATTGATCGACTGAACTGTAAATTTCAATTTTTTGCATAACTGGACTTGATGAAATTAGATTGAGATCCAGAATGCAACAGTATTCTAATTTTATGAAGCCTTCCAGTAGAATCCATGATTTGTCCTATAGAGAACTTGAGTGGTGTTAGACGAAAATGCAGATATAGTTCTAGACCGCTCAGGAATCTCTGCATGTGAAAGAGCAGGTAATTGCTCAACTGATGGTTCCTTTGACTTGATATGTAAGCTAGTATGATGCTTGGAATCGCAAAGACGGCAAGTAAATGTGGAGTTGCATTGCTTTACGAAATGCCCTCTAGATAAACAGTTAATGCAAACTTTTAATTCTTTCGCCTTAGCTAATCTATCCGGGGGAGCTAGTTTGTAAAAGCGATCACATTTGGACAAGTAATGAGGCTGCTTCCATAGCGCACACATCGGACCACTGGAAACAAATGATTTAGAGCACGTTTTGCTTTTGTGTAAACGGGGTTTGGATTGTTTCGATTCTAAAAACTCCAGCAAGTTTGCCGAATTTTTAATAAATTTCTTAAACTGATTCAAAGAGGGGAGATTGATGTTAAGTGATTATGTACCGACATTGGCGGATTATTATATCTCTCACATATCGAATTGAACGCTATGATATAATTGCTGCTCGTGAATTCTAGAGACTTGATAGTTTCTGCTGCTTCGCCGAAAAGTGAAGCTTGAAGATAACACAGCTTTTAAATGTTGGTGATTTCATCACTGTCATGAATTAAATTTGAGAAAATTTCTCGAAACTATCCAGTCATCAACATCCCCGTGGAATCTTGGCAAATTGAAGAAAGAAAGAGCAGCAAGTTCATTCTTTGAAACCTCAGCCCGTGAAATAGTGTATAGAGTCAAATTGTGTTTGTAATTGCGTAGATTGAATGGGGCTAACTATTAACTCGGGATTTTGATGGGCTTCTTCTATTTTTGCCACAAACGCAACAAAACGGGCTAATTTTCCCTTAACACCTCGTTTCCGACTGAGATTGTCCATGTTCACATGGAGTTACTAAGGCGATTAACTATAAACTTTAGAAACGCTTTTTAATCGATAACGGGACAGATTCTGAATTAAGCAATTTATCAATCAATTAATAAATACAAAATAGATGCTTCAGATATGAAGTGATAGAAATAGTTCTTAGAACCATGTGTTAGACTTCAATTTGAATGAGCCCACGTGACACGAAGAGTTTGCAATTGCCGCAAGGAAAGTTGATTTGAAATAATAAGGAAATAATAAAGAGAGATTGGCCCTCTGATTGTATAACCACTGAGTTCGGCTAGACCCACTAAAATGCGCGTTTGAATCCGACTCGATAAGACCAAAATGTACGCGTTTGCAACCTTTAAAACCCAAATATATGTGGTCGGTTATGGGTTACGCTGAATTGTTGTACGAAATGGAATGGACTGTATGAATTAAGAAATACTTGCAAGCTTCTTCTTGAGGTTGTAATAAAACGTTACACGTGTTCCAAAATGAACTTTATACCACGAGAGCGTCTAAGTGAGTGTTTATGAAAAAAGGCTTTGAACGAGTGGTGGCTTCGGCCTTTAACGCACCACAAGCGTATCGGTCAGGTGCCATCTGGAGATTTACAATAGACTAAAGGCACCTATAAAAGAGTGGGCCAAAACAAACATATTTAATATAAAAAAATGTCAAGTCGAAACACTACTGTATTCAATGAAAACTAATGTGAAACGAAGTTATGGAGTGAACTTGAGCGATGGTATATTGTACGGTTCAGTGGTCAAACTCGTTTTGTGAGCATGCGCATTGAAATTCCAGGATTTGTGTCTTTGCCTTAGAAACAC